TTTCGCAGGCCATTAAATCTCATTATATTTTACACAATTTTTTTCAAAATGTAAAATAAATCCTCAAAATTTCACTTTAATACCTTCAAAAAAACAATAAAAGAGAATTTCACATTCCTTCTATGAAACATTCCCTAATTTCCATCAAGAGGACAAAGGTGATGTCAACTTTTTCAACCCCACCCAAATCGCAGCTAAGAATAAAGCAATATTTTACATGTTTTGAAAAGTAGTCTTCCTTCCTTCAACTACCACAAGATTGGGTGGTAATTCCCCTAATTCAACTAATTGCCTCTCTCCTTATAGATTGGTGCTTTGGTGGAATGCTGATACATTGACCAACTGTGCTATTATAATGACATGCGTTAATATAATGACATGAGTTGGCACTTCACTTTCATATCACAGCTTGATTAGTTAATAAATCTCTTAATTATAACCACCTAATTAATAATAATCCACTTGCATTTTTATAAACAACTAAACAAGTTAATCAATGAAAGACCATCACATCTCTTGCCACTTGCACGGCCCTCTTGAGTTAAATTTATTTTTTTTCGTAGAAGACATCTACAAAAATACAGAAAACAAGTTTAAAAAATAAAAATCTTATGATTAATTATTTTTAAAAATTAAAAATTTTGAGACCATGACATCATGTGTCCAAGGGGTATTTGATAGCTTAGTTATAATAGGATTTATTCATGAATTTAGCATAAATCAATCTAGTCATGAGAAAAAACAAAAAAAATTAAATCCAATCGTTTTGTTAAATCGATTTTTTTTTGTCATGTTTTTACTTTTATTCTCGTATTCAGACTTTTTTAAGACGGCGAATTTAAGATATTCTTCTGTCGTGCTGTGAGCGTCTTCTCCATCGTCAAGTTTTGTTTATTTATTTTCCTGAAACTAAGGGTCTGTTTGGGGCAGCTGTAGCTTAATTGAATAATCTGTTGATAAGCTGATTAAAAATAATCTGCTGATAAGCTAAGTACGGTGGCTATTATAAATTTTTATGTTTTTAGAAAAGTCAGACTGCTGCTAGAAAGCTGCCACCACATCTAAATATGTGCGGTGTGAAAACGTTGTTTTCAGCGTTTTCAAAAAGCATAACTGCCAAAATGTAGTTAACCCAAACAGGTTATATGCGTTTTCAAAACGCCACCGCACTAAATAGGCTGCCCCAAGCTGCCCCGAACGGACCCTAAATTTTATTTGAAGTTAATAAAGGCAGCAGCCCTATGTTTATATGCTGATTTCTTACTTCAAATTTGGGTAAATGGGAATATATTTTTTGAGAAAAATTATATAAAGAAAAATGAACGGACCCTAAATTTTATTTGAAGTTAATAAAGGCGGCAGCCCTATGTTTATATGTTGATTTCTTACTTCAAATTTGGGTAAATGGGGATATATTTTTTGAGAAAAATTATATCAAGAAAAATATATAAATTATAAAATGTGACATGATGATAGCCAGCTGAAAATTAAATATGTATTAATTATATTCATTTAAATACATTATATATACATTAAACCTTGTTAATGGTTGCCTACTTCATATGGGTCAAACACTTGATGGATATATATTCTCACGAGGCATTGAATCCCTTACGAAAAAATGTATTCCTTAGTATTTTGCTATTTTATTATAAAATTGCAGCAAATGTCTTCATATATTTATATTTTGCTGTAAAATTATTATCGGTACCAAATGAATTCGTGTTTTACTTTCTATGACTATTCTTCTGCTAATTACATAGAATGATTTGGTGTTATAACATGAGGTTACAATTTTAAATGCATTTATATTAAACGTGTCATGATTTTTTCTTAGTTCATTTCAATCAAAAGTAGTACAGAAAAAATTGAGTCCAATATTGTTTCAGTATTATTGTACATAAAAAAGGTGCATGCACTGATCTTAAAGAGATCTAATGATCCAGAAGAGAAGTAGACGGAGGCTGCCCCACTGCCAGTAGAACGTGTGTCCTACCTTACGAGTCAAGCCAAATAGGACTAAACCAACCGATTAACAAGGTAGATAAGAAGACAATCAGATAATCCAAGCACGAGCCCTTCCGACCAAAAGTGAGACAAAAAAGTTTCTGAGCCAACCATTATAAGAAATAGAGCTTGATGAAATAGCATAACCCTCATTAAAGCTGATCTAAACGAAGATTTAGCTCCATAAAAGCATCTCTGACCATCCTGTGGAGTCTGCAAAGACTCCTCACTAGGGATTGAAGACGATCAACTAGGTTGGATTATCTGATCAAACCCTACCAATCAAGCTCAACCGATTGAGTTTACCCTGTCGACTGAAAGTCAACTAAGCTTAGCCTGTTAAAGCAGAAGGCAACGGGATGATAACTCTGCTCTTGTAAAATACTAGAAATAACCAAATACAAACCCTTTTCAAACGAGGCTAAAATTGTATTATCTTCTCTATAAATAGAATAATCGTTTTATGAAGATGACATAATTTATCATTATTCATTTCTCTCTCTCTCCTCATTCATGCTCTATTTTTTTGGTAAGATTCATGAACAATCTCGTATTCAACATCGAACCTAAAAAATGCATTGAGTGTGGACCAAGCCACCAATAAGAAGAGGAGGCATGTACGTATATATGTATAAATATATACATGTATGAATATTTATATGTATGCATATATGTATGTATGTGTGTGTGTGAGAGAGAGAGAGAGAGAGTGTGTGTGTCCGCCCAAGCTCGCTACTACTTATCAAGTTCTTCCACTGAGCTTGCATGCATTTATCCAGCTGCATTGATAAGTTTGTTGAACGAACCTTAAAAGACGCCTGGATGATAGCAAGAAGTAAGCCTCAACACATCACTGTCCATGCCCATTTATGATTTAGATGACATCCATCGTGATATCTGATAAATGATAAATCTCAACTGGCCTCCTATAATACGACTTATAATTTATCATTTTCCTATTTTTTCTCTTTTTCTATTTTTTCTCTTTTTTTTTTTTTTTTGTAGCACTATAAGGGAAAGAATGGTGAGAGTTATCTAAAAAAAGGGAAGGGGAAAGAATGGAGGATCCACCGGAGTGTTACACACACAACCTTAAATCCTCTACTCATTTCCACCTTTTCACTTGACTAGCAAGATCCGTCTCATTCCCAAATTTCACGGGTCCCTACATTCTAAAAGATCCAAATATATATATATATATCATGTATACTTACATCCACATAAGTTTAGGACAGGAACTGTAATGTACAACACAACCTACAAATTTGCATTGTAAGTGAAATCGACATTACGGACGCACTCGCGTGATCTGTTTCATCGTTCGGAGTCATTCGGGGCGGAGTCATTCGGGGTCATCTTCATTCGGGGTCATCTGGACCACTTTTTCAACAATTTGGGTCAAAACGATAATCTGTATATTTTAAGCCCGCAAGCGAAACTGTGATGCAACGAGCGTCTTCTCCAAGTGGAATCGACGTTCTGAATTCACTTGTGTGGTTTGTTTCGTCGTTTGGGGAAATCTGAACAAGCTCGCTGATGCTCAGGTCAATTTGAGCCAAATTCGTGCATGGCGCGCGATAATAAATTTTCGTCAATCACAGGTGGACACCTTATACTTATGACATCCAAAAATTGATGCCAACATGGGCTCATATAAATTTCACTAAAAAATTAATATAAAATTTGAAATGATGGATTTGCTCATCATAATTTTGTTTTGTGACTTGTGTGAGGTTATACTGATAGAATATTATCGCTTACCTCTGCTGCAATTTTACCTTTAAAAAAAAATACTCGAACCGTCAAAATTGTTTCCATCTAAAGAACGTAACGAACCCCATTTTTGCGAATTAAACTAAATTCCATCACACAACATGTTTGCAATTATCCATCTTACGACACATTTTCACAAGAAGAATGCACCACGAAGAGCATTTTGCAATAAATGCTTTTTTGTTAGGGCAAAATTTTCCTACTCAAATTTATTGCATTGTAATAGTGGCAATTACTTGACCCATAAGTTTACATCTATGCTATTCTGAAAGATAATATTGGCCACTAAAACAGAAAAGTTATCTTAAATTCTAAAATAAATTTTTACAACATCAGCATCAATTTTCTTAAAAATTATTACTAACAGGTGCCGTACACTTACCAAACAATGATGGATAAAGAGTCACGTCACATACACTAAGAGTGTGTTTGAGACAGCTGCAGCTGTTTGAAGATGCAACTATGAAGTTGTCATGAAGAAATTAATTTTCAAAAAGTTACGATAAATATTACAAATTTATTTTATTTTCAAAAAGGTATATCATATCTCTTTGGCAGCCAACACATATTAATAACTCAAGTTAAAAAACAGTAAAAAAATAGTTCTTCAAACAAAACTATAATGGGAAAATTGTCCCAAAAAGTCTTTAAATTCATGATCACGTGACCTTCCCATCCATGATTATCACATATAATAATTTTAGTCTTTTCTACATACATAGCACTCGAAACACTATGATGCTCCAATGGGAAACCGCTAACATATTCTACCACTTTCAACAGTGATCATTCGCTGTTATTTCTATACTCGTTCAAAAACAGGACCCAATCCTAGCGTCAGCGCCTTTCCACAACTTGAACTGATGGGGATGCAACTAATTAATTACGACAAAGCAACACATAAACACTTAATTAAAAATCAACAAGTTGGTAATATACGAACAAAACCAAGCAATGAAGACTATTGTTTCCTAGTATATTCCCACTTCAATTTTCCGTGTGAAATGCCTCCATTTTTAGTCCCTCCAATAATTATGCCCTCCATGGAACCCACTTCCATGACTTAATCTTTCTTAATGCAAAGACTTATCTCCTAAACTAAATTTCTGATAACCGCGTTATGCGCGGCGAACGACGGCTATAAAGCCCAACCTCTACTTGGCTTACTCCTCCAAGTTTTCCTAAGCAGAGCTTTGAAGTTCTGTATTCTCATGGCGACTGCTCCTCCTCCTTCTTCTCCTCTTTTCTCCTGTTGTGTTTTTCTCAATGTCTTCCTCTCTTTGCTTCTGATAGAGAGGAGTTCAGTTGTAGCAGCTCGAGGGCTCGCCGGGGAACACCATGTCATCGACGTCAAGTCACTATTATCAACCAGCAGCAACTGTTCCTTGCCTGACAAAGGTTTGTTAGCCATTCCAATACTTTATCAATGCTCTGTTTGATTCTATTTTTATTTTTTTGTGAATAATTCAAATAGCTATAAAACAAAAGCAACTATGCTTATGTATTTTATTATACTTTAGTTTTAATAGTGATATCAATACAATCAATATAGCTAAAATACAATAAAACTCCCATGTAGTCATGTGACACTAAAAATTTAAATTTTAAGAAATGAATGAGATCGGATATATATCACCATCATAAACGCAATGCAAAAGCAAAAGATTCCAACGTTTCCACATATCTCCAATCGATGCGTATTAACAAGCTGTACCTATGGCGACAGGTGCGAGCCCTTCCAAGCTCAAAGTGGTCCACCGGCACGGCCCCTGCTCATCCCTGCCGCGCCAGAACAAGCCATCCCATCTGCAACTCCTCCGTCAGGACCAATCCCGTGTCGACTCCATCCATTGCCGCTCCGCCGCCGCCGCCGCCCCGGTTGGCGGCTCGCTCTCCGCAAAACTTCCGGCCAACACCGGGACTTCTCTCGGCAGCGGCAACTATATCGTCACCATAGGCCTCGGCACCCCTAAGAAATCATTCTCCGTCGTCTTCGATACCGGCAGCGATCTCACCTGGACCCAATGCTTGCCCTGCGATAGCTGCTATACCCAAAACGACCCCCTTTATGATCCAACACAGTCCTCCACCTTCACCAACATCTCCTGCAACTCCAACTACTGCACCCAACTCGATCAATCCAGCTGTTCCTCAACCTCCACCTGCCTCTACCAGGTACAATACGGCGACAATTCTCAGACTCAGGGTTCCCTCATTCAAGACACATTGACTTTCTCCTCCGATTCCATACCCAATTTCCGCTTCGGTTGCGGCCATGATAACAGCGGGCTGTTCGGAAAGGTTGATGGGTTATTGGGCCTTGGCCGAGAACCAGCTTCCATTGTCTCGCAAACGGATCAACTGTACGGCAAGGTATTCTCATATTGCCTCCCGTCGACGTCCAGCGCCGCCGGATACCTGGAACTCGGCAGCACCGCCGCCGGAGTTCAGTACACGCCGATGCTGACGAACCAGAACCTGCCATCCTTCTACTTTCTCAATCTCGTAGCCATTTCAGTCGGCGGTCAAAAACTCGCCCTTTCGCCCACAGTTTTCAGCAACCCCGGAACCCTGCTGGACTCCGGCACAGTCATCAGCCGTCTCCCGCCGACTGCCTACGCCGCCCTCCGTAGCAGTTTCCGGCGATATATGACCAATTACCCCACAGCGCCGGCGCTGTCTATACTCGACACGTGCTATGACTTCACCAACTACCAGACGGTGAAGGTTCCGTCGATCGCCTTGTTGTTCGGCGGCGGGGTGACCGCTAATTTGGATTTCAAGGGGATACTTTACGTGGCCAGCATATCTCAAGCATGCTTAGCCTTCGCCGGAAATAATGATGCCGGTGACGTTGTGATTATTGGCAATGTGCAGCAAAGGAGGTTCAATGTGGTGTATGATGTGGGGAATTTAAAGATTGGATTTGGGGCTAATGGTTGTAGTTAGTCATTAATTAATTAATGTAGTCGATTAATTAGACTGGATTATTGGAGGGGAAATTAAGAAAGGATTAGGTTTCGGCAAGCTTTCTGCAGAGTTGGGGAATGTGGCAAAAGTAAATGTTATGTAAAATAAGAGTTTCAATCATTGCCAAACTTTAAGTAATATTAAAATATGAAATGGAAGATTATTTAGGTGTGTTATCTTATCGAGAAGATTTTAATTGTTGATTTAGGTGTGTTATCTTATCGAGAAGATTTTAATTGCTGATGAAGGTGGGGCAGCTTGTGCGTTTCAGGATAAGTTGTTTGTTCTGAGACGTGACCCGCAGACCGACCGCAGGGGTACAGGATAAGCTGCTTATTCTGAAACGCGGCCCGCAGACCGACCGCAGGGGTACGCAGGGGTAGACCCGCGGTCTGCGTTTAATGTAAAAACTCAAACGCAATTTCGGATAAGCTGGTGAAATGCACAAACCAAATAATACGGCGGCGTTTTGAAAACGCCGCCCGCACTTATAAGCTGTCCCAAACGGATCCGAAATTTCTTTTTTTTTTATTATTATTATTTTGTTTATATTTTTATTGAGCACGTACTACATGTATAGATAACCTAATTTAAAGTTATGCAGTATTTTCTACTTTTTTTAATATTTTTATTTTTTTTCTTAAATAATAATGAAAAAATTAGGAAGAGAGGATAAAATTATTTATTTATTGATAATTATTTATTTTTTTAAAATGAAATTTTGGCTGCTTTTTGATACATCGCGCATCTTATTTGGAAGAGTCCAATAGCTAAGTCAATAATTAGTGAAAGCAATTTTAGTATTGATTAGTCTGGTAGGATGGCATCTGCAGGTTCATACGAAAAATCTTTGGTTTACTAATGACAGTATTAGATTGAGATGTCGTACCTACTAATCATTTTCATTATGGGCATTTACATAGATACCGCCCAATTTTTATGTATTTGCATGTCAAACTCCTAAATTTTGTTTATTACATTTTTACGATCAAATCTTTCGTATCACATCAAAATACCATCATATTTTTAACTTTTAAATGGTGAAATTCAATTTTACATGCATAAAAAAAGATGGCAAGCACGTACTTAAAAGTTGAAGTTTAGATGTTAGACATGTAAATTCATAAGAATTGTGTGGTATGCATGCAAATATTCCAAATTATAAATTCTAATTTAGGGTATCAAATAGGTGAATCAGGTTTAGAACTCATTATAAATTGACCCAACTCGAAACTTCATGATCTGAACCCGACCCAAATAAATTAAATGGGTCAAATTCTTAGGTTGAACTCCACCCAAAAGTTAACCGAATAATTCAAGTATTACGTCTAATTATTAATATAATTGATTATGATCAACATGTATTGCCCACAAATTTGCCCATAATCTACTAAAATAAAACAATCATAAAAAATAAAAAATAAAAAAGAAAAACTATTGGTAATATTAAGTGTTGAATCTGGATTTATCCATAGAAACACACCCTGAGAGTTAGAGCTTGTGAGGAGAGAAGAGAGGGAGAGAGAGAGAGAGAGAGAGGAGCGTCAGAGAATCGTCAAGTGTTAGGACCCACAAGGGTGAGGATCCCAAAAATTCAAGAACCCCTGATGTGGTAGAAATCAAGAGTCTATTTGTTGATGTCATTACCTCATATTTATTGGGGTCTATGAATACAATTAAATATAAGGAAAAAACAGTTATTGTAATTGTATGACTGATTGTAAAGAGATTACATGGTAACGAAAATAAAAAATCAGAGTTTCGTTGATCGCTCAAAGCTTTAAGGTCAGCTTGCTGTTGTGGATCAGCCGTCAGATGTCTACGTCGTTCGGTAGTGACGGTCGACTGTATCTTCTTTGTGAAGAATTGGTTGCTTGAACATGACGTGTGGATTTCACAAGTTTTCTTATGACCGGTAAATCCATTGGTCAACATATTCTGCTGGACAAAAGATTTCGTCGGTCAACTTGTTATGTCGATTGACTGAACTGAAAAGTCGATCAACTACTTGCTAATGAGTTACCTGTTTTGTCGTTTGGAACCTCACTTGTGCTTCTTTATTGTTGACCGTCCAATTTCTTCGAGATTATTGCATATTTGTAGCATACATATTAGTTCTTCAATTCTTATGTTCTTTGAACGTTGGACGCACCAGGCGTTGTAAATCATGGACAACTCACACAATTATGCGTGGCGTATAAAAAGTATCGACATATTAGTTCTTCAATTCTTATGTTCTTTGAACGCTGGACGCACCAGGTGTTGTAAATCATAGACAGCTCACACAATTATGTGTGGCGTATAAGAAGTATCAATATTAGAGTCTGTTTGTCGATCCTATAAGGAACGAGATCAACACAACTAGAAAAAGTTATAGCATGCAGTTGTTAGTCCTGACATAAAAGGTTAATGTTTTGAAGTTTAATAAAAGTTCATGTTAGCGTTGGAGACTAATTTCGCGCTTGCTCCCGCCTCCTATGTTTCACGAAACGACACCACTCCCACTCCCGCCTCTCGATCGCAAAACCCGAGATCCGCTGATCTCGCTCCTGACTCCCATGAATGGTAGCGACCGTGACCCTGCGGTTTCGCAAACTACTCCCTCCTCCAGGTTCGCGAAATGACGCCCCCCCTCCTCCGTCACCTTTAAGTTGCGAACAGAAGAGGAAGAAAATTAATGAAGTCATGTTTTACGTGTTTTTCTTCGGGTTTCCTCAGGATAGAGGAAAATAAAGTGCAAGAAGTAGTTCTTTGCATCAGAAGGAAGAAGAAAGAAGAAGAAGAAGATTGTCCCCCCTTTGCTTCTTCTTGGTAGCTTGTGGTAGAAGAGAAATTGAGTTTTGTGTGTTCCGTTGTGTTACTGTTTTTTGGTGTGAATTTTCTCGCTCTTTTCTTCGCTTCGTCAAAGATCGTTCTAATCATTAATCATTCTTCTGTATTTGATTTATATATATACCACAACAACTAGTATAGTTCACAATAACTGGTATCAGAGATTTGTTTCAGATCTGAGAAAGAATGATGGCTGCAGATGAAGTGAAGGTTTCAGAGATTGAGAAATTTAATGACACAGATTTTAGTTATTGGAGGATGTAGATAGAGGACTACATCTATGGGAAGAAATTTTATCTTCTATTATTGGGGAAAAAACCTGAAAGGATGGATGAGGTTTAATATAATTTGTTGGATCGACAAGTCCCGAGGGTTATTTGATTGACCCTATCAAAGTTCGTTGCATACAACATCGTCAAAGAGAGGATGACTGCATCTCATGGCAGCCTTATCAGGTATGTATGAAAAACCATCAACGAATAACAAGGTGTACTTGATGAAGAAGTTCTTCAATTTGAAGTTGGCGGAAGATGTTTCTGTCGCTCAACACCTGAATGATTTCAATACTATCACAAATCAATTGTTGACTGTTGAAATTGACTTTGATGATGAGATACATGCGCTGATCTTGTTGGCATCATTGCCAAATAGTTGGGAAGTCATGAGGATGGCAGTTAAAGTTAGCAGTTATGCAGGTAAATTGCAGGTAAATTTAAATTGAAATACGATGATATTCGTGATTTGATTTTGGCTGAGGAAGTGCGCAGAAAAGATTCTAGCGAGATCTCAAGTTCGAGTTCGACACTTAATGTTGATTTCAGAGGGAGATGATAGGATAAGAACTCAAATAGAGGAAGATCAAAATCAAAGTGTTGTCAGCATACAACCTACTTGAATTGTGCAAGACTGGTCGCATAAAGAGGAACTGCAGGAATCCCAAGAAGATGGAGAATGATAGCACGAGTGTGGTATTTATAGAAGTACATGATGCAGTATTGCTAGCAGTTCATTGTCCTGTTGATGATATTTTGTTGATGATGGAAGTGAAGATGAGAGTGGGTCTGGGACACCCATTTCTATTGTTCTACAGAAAAATGGTGGAGAACCACAAAGCTATGAAGAAATATTGCAAGATGAAAGTTCGAGCAAGTGGGAGCTGACAGAACTTCCACCAAGGAAGAAAGCATTACATAACAAGTGAGTGTACTAGGTGAAGACTGAGCATGATGACAGTAAGAGGTACAAGACTAAACTTGTTGAAAAAAGCTTTTAGTAGAGGCAAAATATTACCCATGCAGTGGGAGTGTAAGCAAAGACATGAATAATCTAGGAAATAGCTTGGAGGTGCAAGGTTATTTGGAGAAACTGAAGTTGGTCATCTGGAGTGAAGATAAAGGCTTTGAGTTGCAGAGGTAGAGGATTCATATTTGAAGAAAAGGGTAACACCGTAAGTGGAGGGTATTAATTAGAGGAAGAAAATGTTGTAGCATGTGTATTGGTCTCCAAGTGGAAGATTATTAGCGTTAGAGACTGATTTTGCGCTAGCTTCCGCCTCCTATCTTTTGCGAAACGGCGCCAACTCCTACTTCTGCCTCCCGTTCGCGAAACTCACGATCCGCCGATCCCACTCCCGACTCCCGTGAAAGGTAGCAGTCGTAACTCTGAGATTTCACGAACTGCTCACACCTTCAAGTTTGCGAAACAACGCTCCCCTGTCTCCTTTAAGATGTGAACAGAAAAGGAAGAAAATTAATGAATTCACATTTTTGGTGTTCTTCATCGGGTTTTCTTGGGATAGAGGAAAAGAAAGTGCAAGAAGTAGTTCCACTCGGCAGAAGGAAGAAGCAGAAGAAGAAGAAGATTGTTCTCCCTTGGCTTCTTCCTTGTGGCTTGTGGCAGAAGAGAGATTGAATTTATTTCTCTTGTAATTTTGTCTTCTTCAGTGTATCTCGGTGTATAGTTTCTTCGGCGTATCTCGGTGTATAGTTTCTTTGGTGTATCTAGGTGTAGAGAGAGAAGAACGGAGAAAAACAAAGTGAGAGTGAGATATTCCACTTATAAGTCGAGGTGATCGACTGGTGTAAATTCCTATAGTAGTAATGTCCTCTCCACCTCCATGGACGTAGGCAATTTGCCAAACCACGTAAATTTGTGTGTTCGGCTATGTTACTATTTTCTGGTGTGAATTTTCTCATTCTTTTCTTTGCTTCGTCAAAGATCATTGTCATGTTTGATTTATATATATACCACAACAATTGGTATAGCTCATAACAGTTCATACACTAATTTTTAAAAGTGAACAAAACCTAAGTTTTAAAATAATTAAAAGAA